GTTCCAAAGGTCTCAGGTAAACTCTGACTTGGGTCACTATGTCAAAACCTTGTAAGAACTTCGTCATCCATCTTGTCATTGTGTCCCTGAGAACTGCCTTGTTTAGATTAGTCTTGCTGGAATTGGAAGGTATTGTCTGATCTCCAATTTCTGATGACTGGAGATCATGACCTGAGCCAAAGGCAGACACCCAACGACTGAGCCACCCAGGTGCCCCTAAATTCTGCAATTTTTAATTAATTCAGAATTGGTACAAGAGCTCTTTTGTTTACCCAAACTGATCATCAGAAAGTGAGTTTTCATCTTCCTAGAGTTGCCATACATAAAAGTAGTAACACTTAATTATTATTTTGAGGTTAATTATACTTAAGCTTTATAATGTTTAATTATGTCAATGCTTAATGAGTGTATTTCATTAATGAGTATATAATACACTGGTGAATGAATTAAAAACAATAACTTTTTTAATATTTAAAAATGATTTTTCTGCCTTTTTGCAGAGATGGGTACCAGTGTGCCTTTGAGAATGGAGAGATCAGGCGGTAAACCTGGATGACTAGCTTGCATAGGGGGCTTTCTGGGGAATGAGGCACAGCATAGGCTTTAGAACAATTGGAAGCACCTCTGCTCTTTCCTTCCCTCTCTGGACCCGAGGAGTTTGGGCCCTAAACCTGAAACTTGAAAGCACTGAGAATCCTAAATGTCAACACAACCTTTAATCATGTTGAAGTCATGACTTCTCCGCTTTTACTAGTACGGAGGCTGCCTTTAGCCTTTTTTTTGGGAATGTCTCAGGAACGAGAGGATGAAAAATGGGAGATGGAAATCCTCACCCATCGTGCCAATGTTTTGTACTTTTGGGTGAAATCTGCGGGACTGCATCTCAGAGGTTACTAACGCACCTCTGCAATTGGCTATTGGTCAATTCCCAACCCATCTCCTTATTTATCCCTGGTAGGCTGAGTAGCTTTGACCACCTAGTGTGCCGAGTTGCTTACATCTATTACCATTAATTTGATAACAAACCCCCAAAACTCAGAGACATGACTGTATATCAGAAGTCATCTTGCTAGTTAGGCTGTTGATTGGCAAGTCAAACCCAATTCTAACTGACCTTCATACCACAATGTTTTTTCCTTCAATGTCTCAGAGAAAAATACACGCTAAAGGCGGGTTTGTGTTTGTGCAAAGCCCGTGCATACGTGTGTGTACACGTGTGTGTATTGAGATGGTGGTGAAGAGTCAGAAAGAAAAATTGGGGTCATTTTTTTTCTTAAATATGCTTGTCAGTCATGATGGCCATACCACTGTCTCCATTAAATACCCTCTACTCACATCAGAATTTGGGAGAAATATTATGCAAATAAAAAAGCTACTTGGTTAGTGTAGATGGCTGAGGCAATTATAGCCATCTGCTACCTGTTAGCCCAGCATGTTCCATCTGTTACAGAGCTCCCATCTACCAAAGAGGGAACTCAACGCGGTGTAGACGGGGCTGCTGAGACTAGGTGTTGGGGTCTGGAGGGAGGGATGGGAAGGCAGCTAGATGATTTTCTTTGGTCCACCCAACAAGTGTTTGGCTTTAGGTAGTGGCCGGGGTGCCCGGCAGTGTCCTCTGCATCACCAGCTGACTCACGAGGGTGTTGCTATATCACTGCAAACATATTTTTAATCAGAGGCACATGTTTTCATCAGTGAAAACCCATCAGCTTTACCCTATCTTGGACCTCAAATGAAACGTAGAACTTGGGAGAAATTTGGGTTTTCTACACCATGTCCATAATTAATCTGAATATCTAAATTGGTTCGAACATAAAACTCCTACAGTGTCTTCTTGGTCCACGGCATTTAGCAAACTTCCTCTTACCCTAATAGCTCAACCAGGTCCTCTTCTCTTTGTCCTCCTGGCTAAGAAGAAAAAAAAAAATCCTCCTTCTCAGCTCTCACACTTACAGAATTTTGAAAACTGCCTTTTGTGAAAACCTGTCTTATGGAAGAAAGTAACTTTGCTTCTGGGTTTTCTTGGCTCTTAACTAGTGCCAACCTGGGGCATGTTTTTTCTTTTCTTCTCAGGCTAAAATATGAAATGTTGACCTTATGGCTTCATGGCATTTTCTTCACTGTCCAGGAACCACTGCATGGGGTTCAATACAGTAAAAGAGAAGATTTAGTGCTACTTCTTCTGAGATGTCAAAGGCTGTTTTTTGGTGCTCTTCTGATCTCAAAAAGTCTCTATCTCAAATAAAAGTTATTTACACACTTCTGTTATTACTGTGCACTCCCTTTTCTAACTTAGCCTCGTCCTGGAGTAGGTATGGCCTCTCGCTACCAAGCTCCAGCTTCTGCATCCAGTGGAGATCTTGAAGTACTGGAGGGTCCCAAACCCTCATCTCCATGACCCTCGGCACTGTCAGAATACTTAAGTCCCAGGATCTACATTCACACAAATGTAAAATCTGGCTTGTAGTGTCCGTTTTATGAAAGGAAGTTAAAGAAGGCACTAAAGAAACACCAAATCTCCTCTTCAATAAAAGTCCTTTTAGGTAATAATTCTCCTTTGTGCAGCCACAAAAAAAATACCCTCCCGGGTATAAACCCAAGACGGCTGCTAGAAAAGGTTCTCTGAACTTCAGCGACTGATGGTCCTCAGAGATGAGACAGCACTGCGTACTGACATATTTATCACATGCGTTTAGAGGCAGGAAAGCCCCGGAGAAGGGTTTTGCAGAGAAGTGAGCATGAATGCCAATGTGAGTAATGTGCCTGACATAGAAGACTGGAATGGGACCCAATTACAGTGGGAAATGAGCCAGTGCTTTAATGAATCCACAGTGGGAATGGAGCGTACAGGTGCCATCTGCATGTGAGATAGGAAGTGAAGGGCTTGTCTGTTGCTCACACCTGTGGAATGCATTATACAAAACGGGATCACTATCATTCTTCAACGACAGGGTCAACAAAGCCAACAAGGATTCTCATCCTTGCAAACTGGATTTAGTTTTCCTAACCCGGTCCTTCACAATGGGAATTAAAATACAGGGAGTGTGGAAAATCATAAAAAATGTCTTGCAGATTTATTTATTTTTCTTGCAAGCATTATAGAGAAATATTTTAGGGTTAGAATTTGCAGAGGAATAGAGCAGGTAATCAGCTTGACTTTCTGTGTGGTCTCAGAGGGTTGGCTTCTGATTTCTAAATGTTTAGGTAAAAGGTGTTACATACAATGATTTTTTAAAAGCAAGAAACATTTTTAGCCCAGTTAAAAATTATTTTTTGCTCTCTTCTCTTTTATTGCAAGCTTAAATTTCATATCTATCTTCTAGAATACTTAGCCTAGATATATAAAAAATATTATCCAATTATATTACTATTTTAAAAATCTAGGATGCTGTGAATACTTAAACATGTGTTTTTTATTAATTGAGAAAATAAATTCATTTATGTTCTGCATATAACACTGGAAACAGATTCCGATTATAACATGCACTACAAATTTTCGAATGCCGCCTGAATTTTCATCATTTTTTTTAAAGATTTTATTTATTTATTTGACACACAGAGAAA